TATTTCTTGCGCGGCCCGGTACCAATTGGTCCACGGACCGGTACCGGTCCACGGACCGGGGGTTGGGGACCACTGGTTTACATCACACTATTCCTGGTCATCATTTCCCGGATGATCCGTACCGCAGTTTCTTTGTTAATGAGAAGTTCTTGTATTTGCTGTGAATGACGTCGAGGTTCGCGTTGCGTTCCAGAAAACTGCAAACATCGAGACTAATATGAGCACCGCAACAAACTTGAAAACAGCCACGAATGAACGAGTCCGTAAAGTTGTGCAACTAAATTCCATTATAATAATTAATATTAAGATAAGTGTCACAAATCTGTGCAGAAGGATATCAGAGTTGTGGAGCGGCAGCAGGAGCTCTGTGCGCTGCGCTCTGACAACAAACGCAGGGCCGTAATGCAGAATCTGGAGGCTGGGGCCGGGAGGGGGGCTTTAAAATCCTTCTTAGAGTTTTCCAGACAATAGTAGAACACACCAACTACAAACCTTTTTGTACTGTTGTAACCATTAAACAATCTTCAGTTCAGCCTTATAAGTGGAAATACTTTTTTGATGTTACTATTATAAAATTGCTTGCAATTAAGTATTGGCAAAGATCAATTTAATTTTCACAGGTGGTGGAGCGTTGTTGTCAGCAGCTGCTGGAAGTTACTAAAAAAGTTACTTTTAATGTAACTTAGTTACTTTCCAAATCAAGTAGTCAGTGATCTAAGTTATCAGTAATCAGTAATCCAACTAAAGTTACTTTTTCAAAGTAACTATGCCATCACTGCCTTGCTCATTACTTTCCCACAGCTGCTTCACCTGATCAGACTCACCTGGTTTCTGTTTCCTCCTCAGTACTGAAGCTGCTGGTTTCCCTTGTTTCTTCCTGGTTTCTTCCTTTGCACTCAGCCAAGTCTTTTTTATCTGTTTATTTTATTTGGGCCAGTAATTATTTATTCTTGAGGCATTTAGATTAAGACTCTGTAAAAGAGGCTTCAGCTTGATGCAGTTTTTCTGACTGGGTGTGAAAATGTGAAAGAACTCTTGTAGTTTCCCCACCTGCTGCTGTAAATACTGAAAAAGTCATTATAATATGACATTTAAACATTTATGTATAAAGTTAAGTGATTAAATAAATGCAGCTTCTATTGAACTCTAAAACATTTTCTATTCAAAACTAATGAAACTAATGAAACATTACTTTCCCAGAATAATGCCTTCACTTATGTTTTGTTTGAACTAGTTACTTGAAATACAGACAAAATTAATTACAGTAATTTAGAGCTAATTTGGCCTCACCATGAAAACTTTTCAACACAGAATTTAGTCTTTAAACATACATATTCATATTGGACTGTTGTATTACTATATAGTATATCACTGTGTATTATTTATGTTTTATGGGTTATTTTACGATTATTCTTTACATATTTTTAGTGCTGCTGTGGGAGCATTATACGGTATACTGTGATGCAAACTAATCTAAACTACAAAAAATGTTGTTCGTTGCAAACCAGCTGTAGTTTTACACCTGTCTTCCTCCAGAATGCACCAAGTCTCACTATGACAAGATTACTGACATAAAATTAACAAAACCATTAATACACCAGTTTAAAATCAAACCTTACATTTTTCATCAGCAACCTCAAATTGAAGAATTATCTACCACCAAGTCTCTTAAACTGACTCTGATAAACATAAGATCACCATAAGAAAATGACATGTGAGTCATTAATTCATCACTGAGCAAAATGTTGATGTCATGTTTCTAACAGAAACGTGGTTGGATGAAAAAAATGAAGCACCTGTACTAATGGAAACAGCCCAGAGGGGCAATGTTTAGTGTTTTCCAGGCACATAGAGACATTATAAAACAGGTAACTATGTTGATACTGTTTCCTTAAGGCTGGGATTAAATATCATCATTAAATCAATTCTCTGATATTTTCTGTGTGGTTCTCGTAATAAAAGCCAGTCGAGTGGCTCAGATCCACTGAGTAACTGCTGTAAGAGTCTCACAGCGAAGAAAACCTTCTGGCTGCCAGCGTAACTGCAGCCACTCGACTGATAATATATGTAAATAATAATACTAATATAAATTGGTTTATATTAATGTGTATTTGTTCTTCTGGTGTTCATCTTGTAAATGCTGTAAAACAATAAAATTGACAGTAGACATGATCAGATGCTCAACTTTATTAAGACAGTATGAAATTCAGAGAAAGTTTCAGGTAGCAAATCATTTTGCAGAAGATAACAGCTGGATATGATGAAGATATGATCAGAATAGAGGGATATTTGCTCTCACTGAGCATGCTCAGAATAATCAGGACCCTCTACTTATAACACACAAACTCTTTCATGCCTGAATTATTAGTGTTGAGGTTTTTCTCAATGACGTTGATGCCGGCGTTCTCATAGGTGGTTGTTGAGGCCATGTTGAAGATCAGGGTGAGCAGCTTGATGGGATCTTTGCTGCAGTCCGTCTTCTTGTACCACAGGTACACCGGGGTTCCTTTGGTTCCCTCATTCAGGTTTATTTTCACTTGCTCGTAGAGTTGGTTCTCATAGCTCCTTTCGGACGCCTGATCAATGGAGACCTGCAGATCTCTGATGGCCTTATTCTCATCGGTGCTCTGTCGGTACCAGATGAAGACGTAAGGCCCACCTGCACTTCTGTTGGTGTCTTCATCTATTCGGGTGTAACCTTGACGGAACAAGTTGGCATCTGAAGAAGGATTGTTGGTGGCCTGGATGTCACAGATGTAGGTTTGATGCTCCCTCTTCATCCACAGGTAGAGCCAATCTCCTCTAGCTCCACGGTTCAGGTCGCAGGCTGACCTCTCCCACAGAGGCTGGGACTTCTTGGCGTCCTCTTCTGCATTAGTGGTCAGGTCCAGCTCCACGATTGGGACATCATATGGAGAAGAACCTTTCATGTACCACAGGTAGATGGGGCTGCCACAGGTTCCTGTGTTGAGATTATTTTCAACCTGGTAGTACCCTTCATCAATCAGACCTTGTTTCATCGCATTAGTGAAGGAAAACTGGATCCTGGTGATCGCTCCACAGGTACCGGTTTTGTACCAGAGATAGATTGTGTTTCCTCCTGTTCCTGAGTTCAGATTAACAGGAAGTTGGGTGAAGCCACTTTTACGTAACTTGAGCTCCTCATTGTGGGTCACAGAAACATTGATGTCAGTGATGTACTGCGTCATCTTTGGCTCCTGCATCAAAGTCAAACATGAGAAACACAGTGAAGGAAACTACCTCTGATACAACATGCATCTGGCTACAGAGGAGATCATTTTATTTAAAAGACCCAGTAAAGGAAACAAACTGGAGATCTATGTATCTGATAAATATGAAGCATCTCCACATCTCACTGAGATTCTGCTGCAACAATAAAAGGGGAAATGTCATTCATATGTATTAATAAAACTGTAAAAGCAGAACTAGTGGTTCTAAAGTTGGTTTGAATTCAGACAAAACGGAAATATTTCCAGAATTTAAAAGGATTTGATAGAAAAATGGGTCAAATATGAACCCAGCTGGTTCTGTCCAGTTTGTCAAAATGATGGTTTCCAAGTTCTACTGTTAGACAGTTAAAGAGAGATGAACGGATGAAGCTGAGCACTCACCTGTAGGCAGGTGATTGATTAGCTGGTTGGATCTTCTGGGCGGCTGAAGGCTGCTGTACCTGAGCTGCTGTACCTGAGCTGCTCACCTGGTCTTTATAAACCTGCTGGGAGCCGAGAGACGGTGGGAAAACTCCTCCTCTCAGGAGACGGTTTCTCTAAAAACAAAGAAATATAATCACCTGGTCCATTCTACAGTTGGCATAAATCAGTTCCACAGAAACATAACTGAATTCCTGACTCACCTGGGGGCTGACGTGTTACAAAGGACCAAACTACTGAAAGGTATTTGGGGGGTGGATGTGTTGGTCTAGCCTCATTGTTGATGTTTGAAGGCATAAATCAGAGTTTCTGGTTTATTAAAGTAAGCATTTACTTTAATGAAGACTTTATGGATGCTGTGTGGACAAAGAGACATAAACTGATGCCAGAGCTGACAGGCAAGAAAGAGAGAAGACACAGCATTTTATGCTATGATCAATTGGTTATTTTTCCCTAAAAGCAGTACTGTAAGACCTCCAGATGAACCTGGATCCTCTCTAGGACTTGATTGTATTATACATATGCTTGTGGTGTAGCAATATACAATGAAAGTCATATACTAGTAAAAATTAGGAATGATTCAGTGGATGTGACTCCAGGCATGAGCTTTATTGTATGTGTGTCCTAAATATGGACTGCAAAGCCACATTTTGCCTCTGATGAAAAGCAACTGGAACAATTATTAATATATAATTCTTCTTCATGGTTTTGATGGTGGCTTTTGATTAAATGTAATGTTTGTTGTTTCACAATCGGTCTGTAGGTTTTAATCAGGTACGTCACCTGATGTACCGTCACCGTTTATTTTATAGCACATTTCAAATGTGCTATAAAATAAAGTTGTTTTGACTAACATGAATCATCCTGCAGCAGAACATCAGAACCAGCTGTATGTCCGGGTTTGATCTGTGATTTCCTCCAACAGCAGATCCTGCAAGGATTCACAGATTATCCCTGCACAAAAAGGAGAAATCACATCAGGAATAAATCTCTTAGTCTTTGCTTTTTTCTGTCTGTTTTCTCTGGTTCCTTTTCATCAAACACTTGATGAGAATCTGAGGTCCAAAGGTTGTGGAACAACGTCAGCTACATCCAATGTGCAGGGGGCATTTCAATGTTAGCATCACTGCTTCTGGGAGATGATCAGTGAGAAAATCCACCTGTGGTCTTCTGATCAGATTCTTGGGACAATCCAACATTTTACAGGTGAGCAGCTTCAACCTGGCATTCATCCCAGAGTTTCTGGAACTGCCAGCCTACAGTTTCATGTGTGATGGGGTTGGAGCCTCCTTCAGGAGAAATTTCCTGAGAAAAGTCACAAGTCAGAGGTGGAGATTTCACAATAAATCTTTGGAGAACGCCTGTTTGGTGAAAACTATGAAGCACAAACACACAGTCATCTTAGACGCACTTTATTACATCAAATCCAGTTATTTCAACGTTTCCATTTAAGCTCCAGATTATTGATTTGATTTATTATCTGCATTTTTCAACAAACATCAACCCTAATTGGTCCCATTAGCATCACTGGATCCTGGGGGCCTGAAACCGTTCAGGTCGTCATTTACAGACAGGGAGAACCTCTTCTCTTCAGGCTGACGGGTTCTGTTCTGACTGAAAGAACCTGGTTCTCCTGTAGGATCACGGTTCTTCTCATGCAACAGTTCAGTAAGGCTCCATAAAGTCATTCACAGGGAAGAACTCCAGGTAGAACATGAACTGTTTGGGTGTAGAACATTTACCAGAACCTTTGTGTTCAACGGTACCAAGGTCCAGGAAGCACCAGTGCTGTTTTGGACTGATCTGGATTTTAGGTTCTGACATTTGATCAAACAAATGTCCAGCGGTCCAAAGGTGCACCAGCACACTGATGGAGAACCAGTCTGACCAGAACCACTAACACGGTAGTGCTTTTTTTTTTTTTTTTTTTACATCTTTATATCTCTTTTCAGACATTAATTACACTTATATATAATTATCCATGTGAATGTATATGTATGCATATGTATTATTTGTGCTGGTGTTCTTTGAGATTAATTGTTTTGATTCATATCATGCACATTTTTATTAGTACTTGATCAAATGTCATGTTATATTTCTGATCAAATTCACAGAGTAGTTTAGAGATACTCTGATCCTAAGTCACCACAGCCTCCTTGGGTCCTGGCTCTGCTCCTCATTGGTGCTAGCAGTGGCACCAATGAGGAGCAGTAGACTAACACCATTTCAATCTGGAAAGACTCAGACGAAGAAAAAGGAACAATTAAAAGGTTTAATGACAGCAATGAATAACAGTTCTTTGGCGCTCGGGCCCCGGCAGCTGATCTGAGCTGAGATTTGATGTGAACTCAATGAACATCCCGATAACCGATTAGGGATGCTCTCCCCCCAAAAAGGGGCTGAGGCCCAAAGAAAAAGGAGGACCTAAAACTTGTGAGCTCGCTTGAGGGTGCGGAGAGAAACATCACAGTACTGGTAGTCGCCAAACAAGTGCAGAAGTCTAGAAGGTGAGAAGCTGGTAGGAGGAATCGAATTTGATTGCTAGAGGGGTTTTCATAATATCATGAAGCCCATTCAAAAAATACCAGGCAAGAGAGTGAAGGATAGTTGAAGGTGCGGAGCCAGGCAGGAGATGGGATCAGTTTTGGGGGGACACAATCGCCTGGAGACAGGCTGGAGGATAGGTGCCTACTGTAAGGGAGCCCTGCTGAAAATATGAGCGAAGAACAACTGAGACATGGGCCAACAATGAGAGGAAGGCTAGGACATGGGCCAGCCGTAGGGGCAGGCCATGCTGGGACATGCCGAAAACTCAGACGTAGAAATGAATGATTGAAGATTTAATGACAAAATTAATAACGGTTCTTAGGAAATGAATGACAGTTCTTTGGCGCTCGAGCCCCGGCGGAAGATTTGAACTGGGATCTCGGGTGAACGCCCCGACTCTGATTAGGGATGCTCTCCCCCCCAAAAGGGGCTGAGGCCGGGGCCCTAAGGTGAGAGGAGGGAAAGGGCAACTGATCCGCCTGTACACACTGCTGTAACACCGTCCTATCTGAGCTCTTCACAAGAAACATGCAAAGGTAATAAAACAAAATAACACGGAGGCATGAAGCAACACGGTCATATTTTTCTAAAAGCAGCAACTTTGAACCTGAACAGCTGAACCAGATCTCTGACACCAGAGCTGCGCTACTGTCAAGCTATGAGGCTTGTTGAGCTTCGTCAGGCTTCAGAAGCTAAAGCCCGAACCGTAACCTCCCCGTTAGTCTCTGACACTAACGACTTGAAAATAAGATAAATACATTGTC